CTGTAGATGTATAAAGAAGGAATTATTTTAATATTTTAAGTTATGTGCAAAATAAATCTAGTTTTAAACTCATCTTAAATGTTTTTTAATTTCTTGATTAGTTAAATTCTTTGACATGATCAAACTGGGTTTGGGACAAACGGTCAGAACCAGAACATTTAAAGTTTGGTCTGACGACCCGGTTGTGATTAGTTCTGTTCTCGTCTCCATCAGAACCACACGATGATCTCAGGAGGTTTAATTCAGCAGAGTGGGACCACATCCTGGTTCAGGTTCTACGGAGGTTCTGCAGTGGTTCTGTAGAAGCCCGGTTCTGTTTAAACTAAGTAAACACTTGTGAGGTAACTCTAATAGTTAAAGGTTTGTTTTGTTGATTCCTAGAAAAAAAAACATTTTCTTTTCTCTTACTGAGACATCTGGACCAGAACCAGATCTGGACCAGAACTCAGGTGGTTCTTCCTGCTGATGACATCGTCAGGTCTCCTGGTGACATCACACAGGTGGCTGAAAACACGGTGAGCTCTGATTGGCTGCAGGTGCAGCAGGGGGCGRGGCATCTAAATGACAACGGAGGGTCCAGATGGCGTCGGCGGCGAGGTGACGGACAGTCGGGGCGGGGCCAGGTCGAGCAGCGCGCCGACGGTTCCRGCCACCTGGGGGAGCCCTCGCTCCTCCAGGATGTGAAGAGGAAGACACAACTTGGTCTGCGCCGACAGACACCACAGAAGAAGAACGCAGCAAGGGGGGGGGGGGACAAAAAAGGGGCGGGGACAACAGAAAGGTGGGTCAACAGATGGCAAATTAAATAAACAAATAAAAAAACTGTAAACATGGCAACAGAAAGTAAAGGAGGAATAAAAGGCAGGAAAGTGATGAGAGGAAAGACAAATGAGAGCAGGGGCTCCAGCAGAACCACCGGATCCAGACCAGACTGGGTCAGGATCAGAGAGAAGGCCAGAACCGAGCTCCTGCTGAGGTTAGTCACATGACTCGCTCAGGTGTGTTTAAGGAAACAACGAGTCCAGGTGTGTTTAAGGAAACAACGAGTCCAGGTGTGTTTAAGGAAACAACGAGTCC